AGGAGCTCCTTCCAGCCGTTCTGCTGCTTGAAGCAGTGCCCGAAGAACACGTGCCTGTGCGTCAGCGGCGTGTCTGCGGAGAAGAGTAGTGTGTCAGCACCGCACACGCCTCACCGCACACGCCTCATCGCACACGCCTGAAGGGGGGGGGCAGTAGAGCACCTTCCTCGGGGAGCTCCTTGAGGCCCACGATGAAGGCCGAGGGGTCGGCCTTGGGCCAGCTGCCCGTTTCAACAAGGGTGCACCCGGCCTCTACACAAATGCCACGTCATGCCACGTCAGCAGACGGTCGCGGCGCGTAGCGGGAGGGGGGGAGTAGCGTACGCTGATATTCGTCATCCTTGTAGATGCGCTCGGGACTGCGCTCGACGTGGAGCGCGTAGCGGCCCGAGTCGATCAGCTTCTTGGCGTTCTCGGGCGTGATGGCCGTGCGCTCCTCCTGCGGCTTGACCTCGGCGCGGATGTGCAACACCTCCTTCTGGGCAGACATGACTGTGTGGTTTGGGGGGGAGGGGTGCGAGATGGGTGGTGGACGGACGAAACGGGAGGCAAAGAGAAGCGCAGCGCACCAAGACGAGAGTGAGCACAACGGCACTTCCCGGCGGCGACAGCCTAACTCCTGAAAAGAAAAACACCTTTTTCCTTTTGGGACTTTTGGGATCTTCAAAGAAAAGAAAGAGAAAATGCGCACCAAGAGGACGATCAAGCACTACACAGCTTGCCTCATACATATGAAGCAAATATTGGCACATGAGCACCCATGAAGTGCCTCCAAGCTACCTCCCCATGGATGCAGACAGAATCTTTAGTTTACATCAGAAGCTACATTACATATTGAATGAACAGAAGATGGGAGAGAGCATTTCCTCAGAGGAAGCTACTGCGAAGCGACGGCAGCCAATGGCTTGCGTGTGCGGTGCAGCAGCCACCTCCTGTGCGCTTCACCCTCGCAGTGGCTGCGAAAAAGGAAATCAGTGAAAAAGAGGCGCCGAAGTCGTCCTGCCAACCTACACTTGACCGGTTGACTGCGCGCCAAACACAACAAAGAGGAGAAGAGACATCAACAGCAACACCCCAACACCTACACAGCGCACTATGGAAGCCCCGCCCAAGCCCAACACCACCGTCGCTGCTGCTGCCACCCTCGACTTTGGCAGCGCGTTGGTGTTCGTGCCGGACCACGACGAACAAGAAGATATCTACGAAGGTTAGCTCCCCTCACATTTTCCTATCTATATCAAGCCCCAACAATATACATATATAATAAATACATCTTTCTATTCTCTTGTTATGGAGTACTTGATTGCTGACGTGGCTGAGCGTGCAGATGAGGTGGAGGACGGGATAGCGGCGTGCGCACAGGCGCAGGCCAAGCTGTGGGCCGAGGCCGCCAAGGAGGCCAAGGAGGGCGGCGAGGGAGCCGCACCGGCGCCGGTCGACCCGGGCTTCCTCCGCGAGCTGCAGCGCATGGGTGAAGACTCCCATGTCGCCCGCTCCCGTGGTGCGCACTCTTCTTGAACGCGTCGTGTGTCGTGTCGTGTCGTGTCGTGCGGTGGTGGTGGTGGTGGTGATGGTGAAGTGACTCAGATCTGATGTGTCGATCTATTCCAGGGCGTAACGAGAACCACAGCGATGCGATGGCGTCGCATCTGGGCGTGTTCAACTCCTCGCGACGACTGCAGCCGCGCTACCAGGGCGCCAAGGCCAAGAAGTTCGACTCGCTGTGCCACAACCGCGCCACGGCCGAGATGCAAGTGCGCAAGGGTGCGTGGACTCACCACGTGTGTGTTGTGTGTTGTGTGTTGTGTGTGTCGTGTGTCGTGTGTGTTGCTTGGCTGACGCTACAAGCGGCGGTACTTACAGAGAAGCAAGCCAAGCTCGAGGAGATCGCGCGACAGAACAAGGAAGAGGAAGGCGAGAAGGAGGTGGAGGAGCCGCAGGAGCAGCAGTCGCCCTTCGTTGGCGGCGAGAGCATCAACACGGAAGAGGTCCAGGCGATCATCATCGACAACTGCTCCAGCCTGATGAAGGCCGGCTTCGCAGGTATTAAAAAAAAACCCGCTACACGACACTTTATTTATATATTCATATACGTCTATATATCTTTACATCTTTATATATAGAAACAAAACTGACCCAGGGACTCACAACAGGCAACGACGCGCCTTCGGCGGTGTTCCCGACGGTGGTGGGCCGCCCGCGCCACTCGGGCGTGATGGTGGGCATGGGCCAGAAGGACTCGTACGTGGGCGACGAGGCCCAGTCCAAGCGTGGCATCCTCACCCTCAAGTACCCCATCGAGCACGGCATCGTCACCAACTGGGACGACATGGAGAAGATCTGGCACCACACCTTCTACAACGAGCTCCGCGTGGCCCCCGAAGAGCACCCCGTCATCTTGGTAAGTTCCTCTACTCGTTTTTTTTTATAATATTCTTTTGCACGTAGTAGCGTTTATATGTAGTCAACGGTCACTAACACATAGCTATATGAATACATATGCATATATAGACGGAGGCCCCGCTCAACCCGAAGGCCAACCGCGAGAAGATGATGCAGATCATGTTCGAGACCTTCAACGTACCGGCGGTCTACGTCATGACGCAGGCCGTCGGCGCGCTCTACGCGTCCGGGCGCACGACCGGCATGGTGCTGGACTGCGGCGACGGCGTCACCCACTCAGTGCCCATCTACGAGGGCACGCCAGTCGCCCACGGTACCGCCCGCCTTCTTAAACCGACACCACACCACAAGGGAATGCGAAACACTTTTGTGAGAGAATATTCTTTTCATACTTGCTGACGTGGCATGAGCTGTGTATACACGCAGCTGTCGGCCGACTGGACCTGGCCGGGCGCGATCTGACGGACTACCTCATGAAGATCCTCACCGAGCGCGGCTACTCGTTCACCACCACGGCCGAGCGCGAGGTCGTGCGCGACATCAAAGAGAAGCTGTGCTACGTGGCGCTGGACTTTGACCAGGACATGGAGACGGCGGCGTCGTCGTCGAGCCTGGAGAAGTCCTACGAGCTGCCCGATGGCCAGGTCATCACGCTGGGCAACGAGCGGTTCCGCTGCCCCGAGGC